ACTATAAAAGTCCCTGGAAGAGACAGCTTCCCGGGGAACTACCCCCTCGGGACTCCCTCCTGTCCCTCTCGTGGACAGGAGCTTTCTTTCTCTCAATAAATATATTCTGCTCATAACCTCCGTTTGTTCCTAAAATTCATTCTTCGGTTTTAGAGAACACAAACTCATGCAGGTCAGGTCCAGAGATCATTTTTCTCTGTCATTTGGAGGTTCCCTATATGGTTTGGAGGTCACTCACCCGAAACCAGTTTTTCTCCCTGTATCAAAAGGATGAAAGTGTATGCAACTGTACTCCATAAAGGAATGAAACTAAGTTTTAAAATCCATATGTAGAAATGGTACACATTTAGAGGAACAAGATGAGAGGTATATACTCTCTTTAAAATAAATTAAAAAATAAAAAGGACAAGAAAAAATTAAGGATTATTGAAAGCAAGAGCTAATGTTTAATTATGGCTCAGTGGAATAAGCACTTCCCTGGCAAGTGCAAGGGCCAGAGTTCAATCCCTGGTTCTGCCAAAAAAAAAAAAGAAGAAGTAGCTCCAAGTATATTTGGCAATATAAACAACAGGTTTGACCATAGCAATACCTAATATAACAGTCATTGTTAATTTTGTATTCTTGTTTTGAAATTCTGTACCATTTGTATTGTTGCAAGTTGCTTTGTTGTTGTTGTTGTTGTTGTTGTTGTTGTTGTTGTTGTTGTTGTTTTGGCCAAACTGCGGATGAATTCAGGCCCTTTTGCTTGCCAAGGAAGCACTTATTCCATTGAGCCATCTCCCTGGCCCAGTTGCTTCGTTTCTGCCTTTATTTTTGCTTTTGTTTTTGTTTTTACTCCTTGACATAAAATATTTTTTAAAATACATATATATGTAATGAACAAGCATGTATGTCTTGGTGTGTGCTTCCCTTTGTGTGGTGTGTATTTCATGAAAGACACCTATATTTATAGCTATATATCCTGTCTATCTCTGCATATCTTATTTGTCTCTTTCTCTTTTCCTCTCCCTTCTCTCAGAGATCTTTACAATTTGGAGTTCTACACTAAAAATAATAATTGTGGGATTTTTCTCTTCCAAGAACAGGTCAGAACTAGAAGACTCAAGAAAAAGTGATGATGTCTCTTCAATAGGAAATTGAGCAAAGAAAGATCATACCTTGATATTATCTGTATATTAAAAAGCAAAACTTTCCATGTAGAATAAAAACAAGTAGCCACTATAAAATAAAAAGTCTAAGAGATTTTCAGTATCTGCTCTGAGAGTGTCTCAATCTAAGAAGGTTAGAGGCCCATTCTTTATTTTTTGTTCATGTCATGACATACCAATTTCTGCCATGCTCTGTCAAGTAAATGTTTATTTTAAAAAGAGTAATAAATGAAAACAAGAGACAAGAAAAAAATTATCACAGGACTGTCCTGCTACAATGCTGTATAGGGTTAGATTTTAAACTTCTGTGTAAAAATATGTAATTGTTAATTCCTATTTTTTTAAATATTGTTTTATATTTTTAATTTTTTTTTCACATTCTGTAGACTTAAAGGTTAACATATCAATACTTGATGGAAAATACCTGTTCCATGTTAGGCCTAAAATGTTTGATATTCAGACAGATGGTGAGATTAAGTTCAACTGTCTATGTTGCAGGGTAATAACAATAAGCTTCTCTTCTGGAAGGTTAACAACCTAAGTTTGCAGACCAAAAATTAGAGAAAAATAAGGGCTGCAAGAATAGCCAACATTTTTTCCCTAGCCTTTCAAGGTCAGTGAAGATTCAGGACATAGGAGAACCTGTACTGTAACATCATGTAACTCAGTTTTGTCCCAAATTTTCTGATCAAGGAGATTATGGGGCCACACAGGAAACTGATTGACAATGTAAAGTGTGCCTAAGGAGAGTCACATGGAGAGAAAACATTCTTTCAGGCTTTCACAGAGAGCAAATTGGTCAAGCAATGGCCATGACTCATCCATATGGCTGACACTCACAAAGGATCTACAAACTGTGGTACAGAGTTTCAGGATAAATCCTGAGGGGATTTGACTGACCTTATCAGATACAAAAGTTACATTTCTTGTTACATAGGTCTTGCTTTTTCTTGGTCTTAACCATCCAGCAGAAAAGTATAAAAACAAAGTACAAAAAGTAAAGTCATATTAATATGCTGATCTGTAAAAGGCTCAAGTCAACCACTTTGGACATTGCGAGTATTACAGAAAACCCACTACTATCTTGGACTATACTGGAATATTTTGCTGAATTCACCTATAATATTTAAATGACAATGGAATACCCTTCTTTGACAAAACTAAAAAAAGGGGATACAAATGAATAACCATTTTATATCTGTATATTCAAAATAGTTATGACAGATATACAGCTGCATTCTCTTAATTCAGTGAATAGAAAGATTTGTTCTAATAGTGTTGTGGACAGGATACCATGTCTGCATCTTATACAATGAATAACCACTAAGACAACAATATGTAATGTACTAAGTATTGAAATTGTACTCCTAATCAGTTTTGAAACTGTCTCATTGCTATCTATTTTTCCATAAAACTATTTTTAAAAAACAAAAAAAGAAAATACAAGTTAATGTTTTGGTACATGAATACACTATATATTGAGCAAATAAGAGTAGTTAATATATTTCTTATCTCATGAATTTATCATTTTGCAATCCTATAGCACAACAGCTAACAATTGTATATTTTAAAATAGCTAGAAGAGAGGTTTTGGAATGTTCCTCAGAGCAAAGAAATAATAAAACCTTCTTTAAAAATTTTTTTCTTCCTGTGCTCCTTTGATTTCTTTATCTATTTTTCCCTACAATCATCCTTACACTTCTGCTAGAGTCCTGATCACACTGAGTTGGACTTAGTTTTTATAACTGTTCTCTGCCTGGAGTTTGAGGCTGGGAAGCAGTTAGGGTGTAGTCTGCTCCAGTCATACCTGCCCAGTCCCTGAAAACTCAAACTGTGCAGCAATATTCACTATATAATCAGAAATTAGTCTGATAATGCTGTAACAATGCCCAATTCTATGACTTAAGTGAGTAATTACACCCTCTTTCTGTTTCTTACTAATAATTGGTAAAAATTAGTACCTGATAATATAGAATTTTGAAGAGCAGTTATGAAAGAATACATATAAAATGCAAACAAATGTGCCTGACAGATAGGAATTGATTAACATCACAATTAATGTTTATTGCTTTTATAATTGCAAAATTATATATTGAAGAACCTATTATATATTTGAAATAAGTATTTTAAACTGTTATAGTCTAGAAAATTGGCTTCTTTTGTTACATTGTGAAACCCAAGACAGGAAAGGCAAAAAAATTTTTTGTTGATACTTGGGCCTGAATGGAAAAGTTTCTTAGCAGAGTAGTGATTGGCCACATTTTTCAAATGAACAAAATGACCTGTTTGGGGAGTTCCCCTAATATTCACCCAGAAGATTAAGATTTTTTTTTCAAGAGTTAGAGAATGCTAAGGTGTTGCTGCTTAGCCCTCACAGTGTAGCTGTCCTGGGTGAGAACGAGTGAGATACACAAAAAGGTGATAAGGAGATCACCTGAGACTCCCCAAAGAACAATGTAACTGTCAGCCACAGGAGACCAAACTTGAGATGAAAGAGCTGGACAGAAAACCCAAAGACATGCGGAAGGATCCTTTGAGTATTCAGCAGAGTGCAACAAAACGATTTAATGCTTGTGTGCAAGATTGCCGTTCAAAAACTGTCAGAAAGGTCATAGGGAGCAGTAGCTGGTTCTTACCTTCAGTCGGAGGCATGCTTACTACCAGCCGTATCATAAGACTCATATTTCATAGAGATTTTAGGAAACAGAAAGAGATTCACAGATAGAAACAAAGATCTAGGAAAAACAGTGAAAATTTAACAGGTACTAATGTTTTACTAATTACTAATAAGAAACAGAAAGAGGATACACGAGAAATAATGACATCAATAAATAAATTATATTGCTTATTCATTATATAAAGCACTTGAAATATAATTAATGGATTAAATGAAATGAATCACACTATACTGTGAAATTAATAATACTGTACTGTAAAGTTTATAAATGTATGGATAAAGTAGAATACAGTTTAAGAAGGGAAAAACAGAAGGGTACCACGGCAAGAAGCTTGCACATGGTGATACGTCAATGAATAAACTAAACATATATGCAATAATCTAGAATAACTCTAAAACCAATTAAAATGTGTAGTATTTTTAGTAAAGAAGAGAAAAATGCTAACACAGATTTAAATATATATGTTTGGTTGTTTTAATTTAAATGTATTTGGCACAGGGTTTCACTATACAGCTCAGACTCATGGTGAGCCTTCTGTTTTCGGACCCAACTCTGGGATTTAAGCATGTGCCACCACACTCGGGCTCAGTGGTAGGCTTATCACACCCGGGGATGGGGCTAGCACAGCAGGTGGTGCCAGGGTATGAACCCTGTTCCAGGCTTAGTCGACGGAACTATCTCGCCATCCTAGATTTAAATATTTTTTAGAAAAACTATAAGAGAGCTTGGAGGGTGCACACACTTGTAATACCAGCCCTGGGATGGTTGAGGCATCAGGAGTGCCATGAGTTCAAGGCTAGCCTGAGCTACATAGTGAATACAGGCCCATGTGAACTATAGCGGGAGACCTTATCTCAATAGACAAAAAAAAAAAAACCTACAAAAGACAAAAAAGCAGGAGTAAATACCAAGAGGAACGAATAAAAATAAATAGCAAGGTGATTTAAACTTAATCACATACATAATGGTAGTGAATGTAAATAGCTTAAACATACCACTTAAAATGCATAAATTATCAGATATTATGCATAAAGTGAACTTCAACTGTACTCTGCCTGCAGGACATTCACTTTCAACATGAAGTCACTCATAAATTAATATAAGAGCATGTGAGTTAAAAATATATACCACATAAATTTAATCAAAATGTTATTTGAGTAGCCACATTTATATTAGAAAAAGTAGAATTTCAATGCATATCACCTTAAGAGTTCATTACTTAGTGATTTAAGTTATAAAATTATGAAGAATATATAAATTTTGAACTTTATAAAACTAAAAACAGAGATTTGAAATATATGTGACTAAAACTATCTGAACTAAAAATAAAAACATATCTATAATTATAGTACAAAGTATTAATACTTCCCTATAACTGATACCTTTATGAAAAATAATCAAGCAAACAAAACCAAATCTGCAGAAAATCAGAAGAGATATGGAAAACTGGAGTAATACCCTTATGTAACTTGATTGGATCACTATTGATAGAACATTCTGACTTGGGGTGGCTCAGTAGTTCTATAAAAATAGATGTGGAACAGTTTTAAACACAGATTACAGTTTAGTTCACAAAACTAATTTCAGTAAATTTAGGAGGTGTCAAGGCAAACACAGTAAAGTGACCAATATGGAACATTAGAAATAATATCACTTGGTACCGCAAAAAAAAAAAAAAAAAAAAAAAAAAAAGAAATAGTATCAGAGGGGCTGGGGAGATAGGTTGGTGGTCTGGTGGTCTAATTGCCTGCCTTGGAAACACAAAAACCTAAGTTCAATCCCTAGTACTGCAGGCTGTGCCTACCCCACAACCCCCGGTGTGCCAAACTGGGCATGGTGGTGCATGCCTGTAATCATAGTGCTGGGGAGGCCAAAACAGGAAGATCACTATGTATCTGAGCTGTGAAAGAGAGCCTGTGCCAAATAAATAAATAAATAAATAAATAAATAAATAAATAAATAAATAAATAACTTTTTAAAAAATAAGTTAAAAAATAGTATCAGGAGTGGCATCACTGAAATGGTATTAGAAGAATCCCTGGAAAAGTCTCAAATGTTAGAAAATATAACACCCTTTTCAATCACGCATGAACTTAAGAAAAGTGTCAAAGGGTGCTTGGAAGGTAGTATGAACTGCATTGAAATGAAGACACTATCTGAAAACATTCAGGAAGGTCGGTAAGTGATCTCACCTATTACAGTGTATCATAACAAGAAAACTTCTATTAGAAAAGAATGTTTCAAATGAACATCTCAGCTTCCACTTTAAGAAACTAGGAAAAGAAATCATTTACCTTAAAGTAAAAAAGAAAGTAAATAAAGAAAATCAGATCAGAAATTCAATGAAATAGAAGATTCAAGTGTAGATAGCAGATAATGCATATAACATGAGCCACTGCACTGCCATTCACTAGGAAAATGTATGTTAAAATCATGGTACGATATGAATGTATATCTAGTAAACTAGCTAAATTTTAAAAATCTTGATCATAACACATGTTGGTCAGAATGTGCAGCAACTAGAACTTTCATACACTGGTAAGAGTAAAAATTTATAGTTTCATGACAAGTTTTGATAACAATTTGGGCACTTTCTTACAAAGTCAGCCATATTTCCTATCTATGATATCACTTAATTATTACACACAAGCTTTTATGTAAGAGAAGGCTCATTTTCACACAAACACTTGCATACAAATGTTCACAGGAAACATCTGTATTTATAGTAGTTCAAAAAAGAGAACTAATTAAATAGATATCAGCAGACTAAAGGACAACCATGATGTGCTATAGTCATAGAGCAATGTTGCTCGTGAATAAAAATACATCAATGCTATTCATGTTTTGAGATGTTAACCACTTTGGTGTTAGTAATGGTATCATCAGTGTGTACATTTGCAAAACCTTATCCATTTATGCACTTTCTCTATGGTCAGTTTCTGCCATGTCAATTATATCTCAACACACTTGATAATAAAAATTAAAGGAATTAGTAATCCAGTTTCAGTATCTCATGTGTGAAATCCTCCTGCTGTCAGATCTACTTTGCCCACTTCTTAGCACGTAGTAAGCAATCTATGCTACTCAGTCATGCATTATTGGTAATGCCTGTTCTGTAGCACTGTCTTCTCAATTTAGAGCTTAAATAATTTTTTCTAAATCTCTTTGAATAAGGAAATGCCTGGGACTATGCAAAAGAAAATACAATTGATAAATGAGTACAGGGATAATTTAAAAACAGATCCACAGCAAGAAGCCTAGTGGTCCAGAGACTTACTGATCTGGTGAGAGAGCTGAGCCATCTTCCCAGTGCCAGGACCTAGTCTGGGGAACTTTGATGAGTCCCATCCAATGATACGACTTCACCAACTTAAGGAAATCCTGTTTGAAAGCACAAATAAGTGCAAATAAGATCAGTGCTCCGAAAATATAAAGGTAAAGCTATAAGCATTCTCTGTTCTTTTTGTAATGGAGGAAAAAAATCTATTTTATGCCCTAATTAGCATAATCTGCTCCTAAGCAACACATGCACAGTATCTGGAATCTCTTAATTTCAGTACAGGAAGATTTGGTGTGAGCAGCAGAAGGTCGAAGTCTTAGTGTTTCCTTGCTTCAGGCTGAGGTTGCTGTGAGTTAACGCATCTACTGAGATTGAATTAAAAAGAAGATTGAATTAAATGCTCCACCTGTTCCACTCAACTGTAGATCTTGAGGAGACTGGAGTTTTGAGACAGACAAGAAGCTTGGCTCTGATACCAGTTTTTGCTCTCGTTAAAAAATTGGTAGCAGCTGTCTCTATAGCATATCCAGTTCTTAGGGCATGGGCCACAGTAACTCTCTAGAGATATATAGAAAATGTACTATTATTTCCCTTCATATCTAAACAACAGCAGATTTAACAATAGAGTTATGTCTTTCCTATAAAATTCCAAAATTCCAAGTAATTAAATCTTTGCATAGCCACACCCAAAGCCCCATCTCCACATGTTCATGGAAAGGCTATTGCCCAACAGTAATTTTCTACTCTTACAAGTCCTCCTTCATTGCTAAAAAATATAAAGCCGCCATGATATGTGGACAAGAATCAACTATTCATTTTCTTTATTTTAATGACATTGGGTATACACTATATCCCAGTAAACACAGATATGAAAACTTTTGCTTCAAAAGACTAAAAAAATTCACTTACCCACTGAGGGAAATGAAACTCCATGGAAGACTAATGCTATAAAAATAATTATAACTATTAAAATTATTATATAAGTATCGCTAATAACTTATAGTTCAAGCACAAATAATTGATACATTTCTAGACTAATGCCAAAGACAGAAATGTTAATTTCTCACCGATGTGCTTTTGAACACTAGTAAAAGTAAAGCATTGTAATTGTCTAATTATACATTGCAATCTAGTTCTCTGTTATAACTCACAATTGGTGAACACAGCAGCACAGACTGCTAACAGAACAAGGGAACGGATCACCATTACTATAGTAATGATACAGCCAAGAAAAAATAGAGCCCCTGTAAAAGAAAAATATATATAAGAACAAACGAGAAAGGTTTAAGGATTCATATTTCTTCATGCTTCATGTAAACCTTAGTGTTTACCTATTTATGAGGACATAAGTACATTTCTGCCTTCATTGTCTTTCCCAGAGCAGGTTACCTCAGCACTTTACAAATGATTAACAGATAAGATTACAAAAGTGATATTCCCACCTATAATTCTGTACAAGTTCTCTAGTTATCTGCTAAATTAAATCAAATTAATTTTTATTATTTTATGTAGATACAATAAGTATAGGCAGTTTCCTCTACCATGTTCTTAAATCATATTTAAGAAATGACACAAATATTCCATGAAATTTGTTTCAATGCAGTACGTTGGTAATTAGGCCATATCATGATATATAGAGATGTTAAGTTTTATAGTAGTTGCACCATATTTCACTGATATCTGAACAAATATTAGTGGCCGACTTTTATTTTTTAATAGTTCAATTGCCTATAATTTTTTGTTTTTGAAATGATACATTTCATACTTACCTATGCATATTTTTAAGTTTTTCTAGGAGAAATGCTTAGAAATTTCTGTGGTAATTACTGAGTCAAAGGTCATGGATATGTTCAATTTTTACAGTGATGGAAAATTTCAGTTCAGAACAATTACACCAATTTGTATTGTAGTGAAAACAAGATAAAAGTATGACTGTTGCTTCTTTATCAGAGTAAATATTTTATTTTATTTTATTATTTTGTATTTTTGTACAGGGTCTATAGGGTCTCGCTACACAGATTGGACTTGTAGTAATCCTCCTGTTTTCAGCCTTCCAAGCTCTGGGATTATGGGTGTGCTTCACCACGCCCAATCTCAGTTGTTATCTCAGCACGCTCTGCCTGGTACAGCCTGCTGGGGATCAAACCCTGGTCCCCATACCTGCCTAAGCAGGTGCTTTAGTCTGCTGAGCTATCTGGCCGGCCCAGAGTAAATGTTTTTTACATGTTTAAATATGCAGTTTCAGTAGGTAACATTTTCAGTTGTCATTTTATATTTCCTTAATAGATGAAGGTGGTATACTTATTTCTCTTGGGCATCAGTTTCCTCAGATTGTAATACTAGTAAACTGACTTGAAAAGAGACATTTGAGTACCTACCTATCTTCCCTATTAGACTCAGAAGCATTTCTGTAAAGAGCAGTTAGGTCCTCTCATCTATACATTTAACAATATAATTTCTGAGAGTTCTAGGATTTTCTTTTCTCCTATTTCTTGTTCCTATTTATTCTTCGTTAAAGGAAATGACTCAATTATTACCTAAGTCTCCCCTGTCCTATTGGATTGATTGTGTTAAGTAATTTCATCCTTCACTTGGGGGGCCTGAAAAAAGTCCTAAACACTAACAAATTCTAATTTTATCATATATTCAAGTTTACGTTAGAGTAATTTTCATCTCTCTGCTTCTGTCATGAAAGTAAAATAAACTCAATGGTTGTCACTGATTTAATCGTATCAGTTCCAAGAGTCACTTCAGTACACTGAGAGATAGCAAGTGGAATATTCGACTTACCATTTTGCCTACACGTGCCTGTAAGCAGTGTAGATTTATGTTTTTGCTTTTGTCTAGAAGTATCGAGAGTTACTTGCTGAAGACTGTAATTTTGCGGGTTTTTCATCTCTGAAATGAAACAGTTCAAGCCAATGTGAGTTCTGTCATTTCAGCCTCTTAGGCCATAATACTTCAGCATTCAATCTGCTCTGACTATGAATATACATCCCACCAATGTCGTTTGGAGGTACAACGAGGGTTCCTTTTTAAATTTTTGATTCATTATGTTTTCTCTCTTTTTTTTGGCGGGGTGAGGGGGTTGGAGGTTGGTACAAGGGATTGAACTGAGGACCTTGCACTTGCCAGGCAAGCAATTACTCCACTGAACTATCTCCCCAGCCCTCATTGTGTTTTCTCAGCCTTCATTCTTTGCATACATTTTAGTTCCATATGCAAAACTGGCATTTTAAGATGTTCTGTTTGGAAAAAGCACTCACCAGAAGCACCTGCTTCTGACCAAATGAGCAGCAGGAGGCAGTGTCTGAAGAGCCCTTAGAGGATTTCCTGCCAATGGAAGTTAGCACGTTTCTGGCACTGCCCTCAGTTTCTTACTGTGATAGGCAAAGTAATTAAAAAAAAAATCTCAATAGGAATTACCAAAACCATTTCTCTACACTCCCTCCAGTTTAACATACAGAAATGGTCATTATTTGAGATAAAAAGCTCACTCTTTGAAAAATATAAAAGTGATATTTATTTGTTAGTTTGATCTAAAAGCTGTTTTCCTGATTCTCTTTTGCTTTGGCTGTTTCCGATCAGATTTTATTGGTAAATTTTTGGTATCCACAGTGATCATATTCATTGCAGGGAATTTGTACCTGGACTTGATATAACTTGATTTTTTTTTGTTCCCCCAATCTCCTGAGCTCCCTTCAACCCCTCTTTCCTCTCCATTTACAAGAGCTTTGTTTCCATGTTTTCCTTCCTTTTGTGGTTTCTTCTGACTTGTCCCTTTGCTTTCCCCTTCCCTGCTTGCCCTCCCTGTCTTGCTCCCCACTTTATCTGACATTTTCTTCTTCCTGTTTCACAATACCTATTACACATTTTGGGCCATACTCACACTTTTGCTTCCTCACACCAGAGAAACAAAGTGGTACTTACACATGTGTCTGGTCAGATTTGTTTCACTTAAGAGTATAGACGCAAGGCTCAGCCATTTCCTAGCAGTGGCTCAACTTATCTTTCTTTAAGGCAGAGTACTACTCCGTTGTGTAAAAAAACCCACACCTTTATCTGTTCACCAGGTGATGGACATTTGGGCTGCTTCCAAGATCTGCCCTTTACAAACTGTGCCACTGCAGCCGTAAGTTTGTGCATGTCGCTATGCTATGCTGGAAAAGCTCATTTTTGCACTGTTAAATTTGTACAATATCAAAGTCTATGTCCCCATTAGTCAGAATCACCACTGGGGCTTCTTTGTCAGTCTATCTGCTTCTGTCTGTCTGTCTGTCTGTCTGTCTGTCTGTCTGTGTCTGTCTCTTCTGTAATGTTTGACAGTAAAGTGACAGTATATGAGCATAGAGACCACTAAACATATCAGAACACTATTGGCCAAGGAAAGCACATTCTCTTATATAACTAAAGCAAGAAGATCAAACCAGAAATGTAATAAGGACACCACACTACTATCTAACATATGTTCTCTGTACAGTTCTGTTATTTGTCCTAATAATATTTAAATTATTTTTCCCCAGGTTAAAAGGTAGCTTCCGACTATTGATTGCATTTAGCTGTCACTCTTTTTACCTTCTCCCATCTGAAAAAGTTTCTCAATTTTTCTTTCTATTTTTGTAAATCTTTCTTTCTTTCTTTCTTTCTTTCTTTCTTTCTTTTCTTTTTTTTTTTTTTTTTTGCAAAACCAGGGATTGAACTCAGGCCCTTGCGCTTGCTAGGGAAGCGCTTATTCCACTGAGCCATCTCCTTGACCTTTCTTTTCTTTTTTTTTTTTTTTTAATGTAATAGGTACAGGGTCTCACTATGCAGCTCAGACTCATAGTGATCCTCCTGTTTTCAGCCTTCCCAGCACTGGAATTACAGGCATGCATCACCATGCCCAGACTCAGGAGCTGGCTCAGTGCACCCAGGGGTGGGGGGCTGGTGTGGCATGTGGTGTCAGAGATCAAACTGTAGTCCCTAAGCTTGCCTAAGCGCTTAGTTCACTGAGCTATCTCGCCAGCCCTATTTTTTATTAGAACATATTAGTAATCCAGAATAAAAACAAGTACATATACACAGCAGGTTTCTACTGTGTCTGTCCCTGTTTTCCACTTGCCCAACCTCCCACTTCCCCAAACTGCTTTCTCATCTCTAAAAAATCTTTCTTACAGTTTCTTAACACCTCTAAATATCTTCGCTTTACAATATTTCATAAGTATGGCTAGGCTTTGTTATATTGATAAGACTAATTATTCTAGTCAAAAGCACTGTTACAGAGTCTATATAATTTTAAAATGAGTTAACTGATAATGTATATGAGACCCAACATTAAAATAAAGAGTTTGTATGGTAGAAAAAACAGAGGCAAAAAAAAAGAAAGCAAAGCAAAAATATCAACACATTCGGTTAGAAATATTTTTAAATAACTAAAACAGGATGAACTTGGTCTCATTACTGAAAGTTGACTGGAAATATTTAGTAAACATTTGTGATATAATTTTCTTAATAAGGGAGAACATACAAAGATTACAATAAGATCTAAAGCTTCTGCATAAATAAAATGAAAAATCTTTGTTCTGAAGAAAACAAAAAGACATTTGTATGTATTAAAATATCAATAATTTAATGAATATTTAAAAGCCTTTTATAATTGATATAATACTATATTTTTGTACCTAAAATTTATACTTTAACATTGGTTGAATGTATATAACTCAACTATTAACCTGAAGAAAAGATGGCAGATGTAACTTTCTAGATGAAGAAATTGAACGCTAAAGATGGCAAAACTCATATTGATTATTAACATGTTGGATAAAAGATACTTTAAAATTATTTACAACTTGGTTTGAGTATTTTAGAAGTATATTAAGATGAACATGATATATTTTATTTTATTATTTAATAGGAAAATGAAAGTATCCAAGTGCTCTGGACTGCTCTTCTCTCAAAGCCAGAAAATGGTAAAGATAAATTAAAATTTAATTTTTTGCTTCCAAATCCTAATGGCATTTCACTATTTCAAGTTACTTTAAATTATTAATGATTCTATAGTAAATGAAGAAATAGAGAAGAATCATTTAAGTTTTTGAAGACATGATTTTAAATAAAATCTATATATTTTAAAGATACAAAAGCAGACCCACACACTGATGCACATACCCAAGCTGTGATGGCGGCTCCGATCACAGGTCATGCCTGCCATGATGTGGTGATTGCACATCTACCCCAGGGATGAGTCAAGAGTCTTCCACCCACCAACATGCCCTGGAAAAAATGAACTTGAACATTAATTTTTTATGGAGTATTCTGATGAAAAAATAAATATTTTATTGAAAAGATAGCACACAAAAAATTTCCACAGATAACATAGCTTTAAAAACCAAAATATGGTCCTGCCCCAGGGCACGCTGAGCCAGCCACCTAGATTGGGCATGGTGGTACACGCTTGTAATCAAAGCACTAGGGAGGCTGAAAACAGGAGGATTTCTATGAGTCCTACCTATGTAGCGGGACTCTGTAGACCCTGTACTAAATACAAAAAAAATTAAATAGAAAAACAAAATGTGGAAATAATTTATATAAGGCAGCCTAAAATAATTCTATAATTTTTCTCTTGTTTAGGAGATAGGAGGTCAATTATTTTAAAATGCCCAAAGTATATGAGAGATATTTTAAATTCACCTGCATTTGGAAATTTAATCAAGGATATCTGACAGCATTGATACAAAATAACAAAAGTAGTTTTCTGTTTGTAACTTCATCTCATTTTGTGATAATTGCTTTCTTTTCAAGATAATCTCAGGAAAGATAAAGATGCCTTTATTGGACAATCCTACCCATCACATCTTAATCCTACTTTCACCATGTCAGCACTATTGTCAATAGCAAAAAACGATCATCAACATCATAAAAAAAAACCTCATAGATGTTTATTATAACTAATATTTCACAATGTCTAACACAGCCTTCAGAAAAAATAGCTATTTGATAAATGTGTCTAGGACTTAGATTCAAAAAATAAAAACTACTCATATTGGATCACAGTGTTTAAAAAAATGGATGCAACTCATTTCCTTATTCCATCTTGTATGGTACGTATTTCAAAAGAAAATGCACGCAAGAATCCACAATGAGGCACAATCTTTCTAATGCCCAATGTGAAGAATCATTCACAGAGTTATAATTCCAGACAAGCCTTGTTCTTATGGCAACATCATAACTTCAGATTCTTCAGTCTCCTAACTACTTATCACTGAATGCTGTGATAAAATACACCTCAGAAATGGTGAGAATTCTTGGCTATCAGCATTCCTACTCAAACACTTAAGAAATAAATAGAACTACCTTACAATGAAAATATTTTCTAACATGAATTGAGCATGAAACACAGCCTCCCCCAACACACACCTGATTAGAGAAGGAAGATTCTGAAGATTCTGCCTCTGGTGGATAAAGGACTTCCTCAGAACTAAGCACTTTAGACAGAGACTGAGTTCCTAATTTAAAGCTGAAAGTAAAATTGTCTTCCTGATTTCCATCCCCAAAAGGAAAATTATTCTAATTGTTTCCTGTGAAAAAAAAGTGTAATACAAATCGCAGCACTTTCATCTTACAGCTGCACGGAGTTGTCTTATTTGGAAAGTGAAGTGTGGCTCCCCATTGATTGGTATGTATTAGTGTCTAACATTTAGGACCTGAAGATCACTAAGTTTAGTGATGACAGGGATTTGAGAAAAATGATAAGATTGTGTGATCTGTTTCTAAATTAAAAGTACATAATTTGAAAAATATAATTATGATAATTATATGAAAATAAACAGAAAAATAAGTCAAAGTCTTAGGTCAGCTGGAAACAGACTTACAAATTTTAATAGATTCAAGTAGACTCTGTTATGTGAGATAAACAACAGCTGGCTATTCTTTGTGCCCTTATGCAGAAAAACATACACATGTATAATCTGCTTTTTATTCTGAAAATGCAAAATGCATACAAATCAATTCCATGATGAGTTGTCGTATACTTAGCTCTAATAATTATCAGTCTATGATCAGCATTTATTTGCATATCATGCTCATGGTTGTAGCAGATCCATGTCTGTCTTATCTCTCTTCCTCATAGATATTATATTTTGTAACTCCTTTTTTATCTGGCAGAGCAATAGCAGCAAATCTTATGACAAAATAAAAACATAGGGGTCAGTGAGATAGCTCAGCAGACTAAGCACCTGCTTAGTCGAGCTCAGGGACCAAGGTTCAATCCCCAGCATCACATGCCCTTCCAGCCCCGCCCCTGGGTGCACTAAGCGGATCACCTAGATTGGGTGTGGGGGTGCACGCCTGTAAGCAAAGCACTGGGGAGGCGTAAAACAGGAGAATCACTTAGAGTCTGAGCTGCATCGTGAGACACTGTACCGAATACATAAATATAAATAACCAAATACATAATGAAAACTAGGTTTAACTATTTTTAATTTCTATTTAGCAAATTAATTTCATAGCCAAAAGGAGGCCAAAGAAACCTGACAACTCACTGTAATGTAGTGCCCTAGGCGGGAGAATGGGACATAAAAGGGATTAGGTAAACAAGGTAGCCCAGAACTCTGGGACGCTGGGGCAGTGAACAGTCTTCCAGAAAACAGAAGGAAAAATACCCTTGTTAGTATTTACTTCATTGAACGATGAATTACTTTCATGCTGAAAAAAGACAAGAATGCGCATATCAGAAAACAAAAAGGAAACATTCGCTTCATACATGAATGCATTTGTAAAATGCAGAATAGTACCTCAACAAATCAAATAGTGACTATTTCAGGGTATAAGTAGTAATTTTCCTTTGGAAGAAAACTCTTCAAATGCAATTTACAATAAACCATAGGTAAGAATTAGAGAGATCATCATATCAAAATAGAAAATACATTTGTTCTAATTCAGTATCCTTTCATTATAGAAGCAATCCAGCATACATAGTGAGTCTTAATACTCTGAACTTTATATCTTATTAACTTTATTATCTTGCAATTAAGATAATAAACATGAAGATTGGCTGCTAAGACCACTTACTTCCATTATCATTGTAAAGATTCTTTAGCACATTTAAGATCACAAACATTTGAAATAGTTAAGGGCTCTGGAATTAAGAATATGTTTGCCAATGATATGATTGTCTACATAGAAAATAAAAATATTTTAATGACCACTTAATATAATTGAATTTAGCTTTAATTTTTCAAATGTCATTGTATTTCTAAAGGTTAAAAAATTGATTTTTTAAATAATCACCATAAAAAAATTAGAATAGAAACACTAAGCATTGATTAACAATTCTAACAGAACTAGATAAGGAGTTGGGGAGATGACTCAGTGAAATAGGTGCTTCCCTGGCAAGCACAAGGGCCTGAGTTCAATCCCTGGTTCTGAAAAAAAAAAAAAAAAGAAAGAAAGAAAGAAGAAAGAAGAAAAGAAAGAAAGAAAGAAAAAGAAAGAAAGAGAAAGAAAGAAAGAAAGAAAGAAAGAAAGAAAGAAAGAAAGAAAGAAAGAAAGAAAGAGATCTATATGGAATTTACTGTCTAATGATACAGAGATATATTTAAAATACCAACCAATTTGACATAACTTCTGAACATCATAAATATGTCGAGTAATCTTATAATATTTTAAAGACTTAGTTTACTTCCAATTAATAGCCCAGATTTTGCTGTGGGACATCCAAAGTGTGATCCTAAGTGCACACTAAATTACAGAACCCAAGGGTAGGGAAATCACCGTGGAAGATGGAGAAAGAACGGAGGTGTTGTATATTAGGTATTTTGACCAAGGTTAAAACTATGTCAAGACAAATTAAATGAATGCACAGACAAGCTAAAAAGACAAAGCCATGCAAATAAAAGAAAAATATACAAGACAGCGTTACAGACAAGTAGGAAATGAAAACCTCTTCACTAGTTCATGCTAAGAAATGTTTATTTATTTACTTACTTATTTTGTATTTTAGGGAAGGGTCTACAGGGTGTCCAGGGTCTCACTACAATATCAGACTCATAATGATCTCCCAAGAGCTGCGATTACAGGTGTGCACCACCACGCCCAGTCTCAATTGCCTGTCAGCTCACCCCGAGGGCGGGGGAGGCATGGCAAACCCAGGTGTCGAACCCCTGGTCCCTGTGCCTGCTTGCAGGAGCTTTAATCTGCTGAGCTATGTGGCCGGCCCTTAAGAAATGTTTAAACCAGTACAAAAACATGAAATTGGACATCTATGAAATATGCATTACCCATACTGGCCCCACACCATGCCAGCCACTGAAACCAGGCGTGATGGTACACATCTGTAATCCCATAATGCAGGAAGCCGAGACAGAAGGATCGCTACAAGTCCAACCTGCATAGTGAGACCTGGTACCAGATACATAAATACATAAAAAGATAAATGATAAATAACAGATAAAAAAGAAATGTGCATTAATTGCAGAAGAATTAGAGATTTAGGGCTGGCCATATAGTTCAATGGACTAAAGAGCCTGCTTGGACAGAGCACAGTGGCCAGGGTTTGATTCCCGCCTTGCTGTGCCGGCCCCGCCCCTGGGGTGCGCTGAGACAGGGATTAGGACTGGGCGTGTTGGCGCGCATCTGTAATTCCAGTTCTTGGGGCGCTGAAAACAGGAGAATCACTGTGAGTTTGATCTATGTAATGAGACCCTGTATACCCTGTAAACCTTGTCCTAAATTCATTAAAAATTAAAAAAATAATTAGAGATTTAAACTTATACCCTTCTCCATAAAAAATAAATAAGCAAATATATGGTTTGATCTTCCAGACAAGACTGAGTTCGATTCTGTGTACCAAAAAAAATAAAAATAAAAATATCGGAGCAATCCCATATAATTAAAATAGCAATGTACAGCCTTTGTTGAACTGATGAAAATAAGTCCTCCTAAACAAACACCCTGATAAAGCTCAGCACAGGGGTTATTTTACCACAAATAATAGGTAAGCAAAGCTGACAAAGTGTGAAAAGATTGTTAAAAAGAAACACAGTACAATGAATCTTGTGTAATTGTTTAACCAAGAAATTACTTACACCAAGAAACACTCTGTTCAAAGAAACCCTGGTTTGTTTCTCATGCCTAGTGTAGACTCTCCACAGATGTCACGAAGGGGAATTTTATTGGCCATTTGCCCAGCATTCTTTTAGGAAAAAGTTACTTCACTAAAACAAAGAGAAATTATGCTAAAAAATAATTTGTAAAAGTGCATGTCTGGCCTTTATGTGGAGATATTTATTGCAGAAGAAAAGTTATAATGCTTTGCCAACACCTTGGTTTCCAGTCATGTGGGAACTAACGCTGCAGCAGCAGTTAGAAATTATTTTTGTCAGTTGAGAAGTGCCACGGCCTTACCAAAGGGGCTTCTTGACCACTAAGCCTCAGGCTGGCCATCACTTTGAAGCCCTTTCTGTGTAGCCCTGCTGGAGGAGGTGCTGAGACCACAGGCGTTTTCTTGGTAACAAACAGGGAAGTGAGGGGAGAAGGGAAGCTTGCTATGAGCTGCTGCTAAAACTGAATGTAGTCAGAGGTCTTTACAGGGCAACTGGCAAGAAATGAAAGTGAAATATGTGTGTTTATAGCTAAGTGCAAATTTTATAATCTTGGCTTTTCTGTGAATCACAACAGATGAAGACAAAGAGTACAGTCAAGAAAATGATAAAGATGATGCACACATTTAAAAGTATTTTATTTGTTGCACTAGCCTGTATTAACATTAATGGGCTCAGCCTGGATTTTAGTACATACTTGGAGCACACACTGATCAAATCTGGTATTCTGTTATCTTAGAGAATAAAGGTCATTCTGATGAGGGCTTGAACATAAATGAGAAATGTCTTAGTGAAAACTAAAAGGAATAACATCATTATTCATCTTTACAGAGTTTGACTGCCTTGTGTTCATGGCCTATGGCTTTGTGTTAGGCATAAATGAAGAGTGACAATCTAGGCTTCGATTCTGGGGAAAGGAAAAATGAGGCTGCACTGCTACCTTTGACTGCCTTGAATAACGTAAGAGTGGGAAAGAAATACTTAAGAATAGAATTTATAATTTTAATTTAAGGAACACAACATAAAAACGTTGGAAAGTGATGGTCTGGTTAGGTGAAGATTAAAAATCAGTGCACAAGTGGTCTGAGTGATTGATCACTAAAAAGATGACCATGAATAAAAAAGAACCATGAGAGTGTGGCTTTCTCCACCTAGACATTGCAGAATGCAACTGATTACCTGGAGGCCCAGGCAGGAACTGGCTGTACAAGTGCAGTTACCACATACAGTATCCATTATGACCATGACTGGTGGAATCATGAGACTATGGCTGCAGCCTGGCCCCAGAGCAGTAGAGCCATTGGTAGCATGTAATGCTCACCTGGGACAATTGTAGACCCCAGTGTGCACCATAAACCCAAGAGATTTGAAGA